TCATTGTTCATCATATGCCATGATACGGCGAACGACGGTAGAAAAATCGTCAGTTTCTCGCCATTACAGAAACGAAATAACTGACTTTTTAGGACATTGAAAATGTTTGTGAAAAACTGTGTACAATTATTTGAGAGGAGTATCGACCAGTAGTGGATTTTGTAATCTGGCCTCTTCTTTCAGGATATCTATTTATCGAAACCCGTATTCCTGAGCTTTCAAAACGCTTGCAGTGAAAATACGTGGTTGCTGCGATTCGAATCATTGCAAGCTCCAGAACTGCAAAACTGCCGTCACTCTACCCGTGTCCGGCTAATGGTTTATCGAACGAGGGCCTTTCATGTCGTTATATTTTTGAATACTATTTCAAGCCATCTCGCAATATTGCCAAGGCAACCTTGGTACACATTATATCATTCATTGTCACGGAGTCATAAACTGACAGCACAAACAATTGGACTGCATGATACTTCGTCAAAACGCATACAAGCGCAGCTCGCAAATTCACCTGGTCCGACTGACCTCATTTGCAGCAGTAATGCTTTAGTGACAGTTCTGTTTTCCTTCACTTCTGTTCACTGGTAAAACGTGTGATGAATCGAAGCGATCGGGTCGTTCCTTGGCCATGGGGCGGTCTATCTGTCGGCTGAAAGAGCCGTCGTACAATGCGACATTTTTTTCGGGCTCGTCCCGAGGACGCAAACTTGTCAAGGTAACTGCCCTTGAATGCAACAACCCGATTTTCAAGTCGAATTCAAGTCCAACTCAACCGCTACTTCGATTGTGCCGACGGCATCGGATCGAGGTGATTTACCTCGTCTACCAATCAGCCACGCGCATAGTCCTCCAGAACGTCGTCATACAATAGATAAAATAAGAATGAGTCATTTCAGAGCCATCTCAGACGTCACGAGTTGTATATGGGGCAAATCGTGCCAAGCCGCAGGCGATCGCCGAATCTACGCGTCGGCCTTAAACGATAAATCTACGCTAATGACGGCAACGATGCGGCTCGATTTCCTACCCCAAAGATCCTCACCTTCACCTCACCACCACGTAACTGACAACCTATCTGCTACAGACGCTAGTCAGGAGGTGGACCGCACCGTGTTTCATGACCCTATTTTCGTAGACAACTACGAATGACGTCCAATGATCGTTC